GGCCCAGACAAGCAGCCTGTTTTTGCAAATAAAGTTTTGATTGGCTCATAGCCACACGTGTTCATTTAGGTAGCTGACTAAGTTGACAGCGGAGGCCATATGGCCCACAAAGCCTAAACTATTTATGGTCGCAAACTTTGAGTAATAGTTTAAGGATCCCTAATTTAAACTATACTGCTATCTGATGGTTTATTTTTTTTTTAATTATTTATTTGAGAGAGAGAGAGAGAGAGCATAAGCCGGGGGAGGGGCAGGCAGAGGGAGAGGGAGAAGCAGGCTCCCACCGAGCAGGGAGCCCCACATGGGGCTCGACCCAGGACCCTGAGATCATGACTTGAGCCAAAGGCAGACACTTAAGTGACTGAGCCACCCAGGCACCCCTATCTGATGGTTTATAATTATAATTAAAAAGCAGTTACTTATTGAACTTAAAACCAAAATGCAAAACATGACCTTTCTCCTTGCAAAGCTTTTCTGTCTGGAGATGGAGAAACTAAAGCTGTGTAAAATGCTATGTGTTAACCATTCCTTCATCTATTCACTGCTTGCTAGCCTTGTCCTTGCTCAATTTTCATAACAGCAAGTGAAATTTTGTTCTTTTTTTCTATAAATTTGAAAATTACTACATAATAAAAGATGCCATTATGCCTCCTCCCACTCCCCATCCCAAAAGAATTTGAAATAGAAATGATTTTTCTCTATGATGGGCCTTTTCTCATTGCCTAATTCCAATCTGCACTATTAAACAGAGAAACTCCCTTTCCCTTTTCTTTCCAAGGACTCTGATTGGTTTACTGTCTTTGTTCCCCATTTATACATCTCTTTAAATTACACACAGTATGTGCTTAATTAGTATTTAGTGAGCATAATGGCTTTCACTTCCTCAGAGAGTTAACTGTAGCCTCAAAACTACAGGAAATGATGGAACGGCTCTCAGAAGTTCACCTTACCTGAAGTAGAAATATATGCCACTAATACTTCGAATACAGAGTTGTAGACTCTTAGAATGTTAGAGCCAAAAGGTGTTACAGAGTTTTGGACAGCAGTGGTTCTCAGACTTCAGCGTGCATTAGAATTATCTGAAGAGCTTGTTAAAATACAGAATGCTGAGCCAGCCCTCCCAAGTTTCTGATTCTTTAAGTCTGTGGTGGTCCTCAGAATTTGCATTTGTAAGAAGTTACCAGTTGATGCTGATGCTGCTTGTTGGGGACCACACTTTGAGGATAATTGTAACAGAGAACAGATGGCTGACCACTCAGATATTATCTCAGAGAGCCCTCAGTTGTGTAGTATACCCAAGGGAGAACAGACCCTGTGACCCATAATGTTCCAACCCAAGAAACATGGATAACCGAGAATCTCCGCTTTTTGTGGCTATCACCTGAACCAGGTACTTGGGATGACAGGACATGGCCTCTTATACCCTGTACTTTGATGGAGACTCTGACAAATTCTTGTTCTTTGAGCTCCATTAGACTAATAAACATTTTTCAGTTCTTATTGCTATTTTTGTTATTATGTCTCTTGGTTTTTATTTTATTTCAACTCTGACTTGTTTCCCTGAGGTGACTCTCAACTATGCTTATCTCTGTATTTATAAACTGTAGGTTAGGGTTGCTTGCTAACCATATCCATTATCTGTTTCCTTCTCATCAGTAATATTAATTCCACCTTTTGAGTACATGTTTTTATACTTAGTCTGGTATACAGATTATAAAAACTGTTTCAAGATCTTCCAGTCCAGCTGCCTTTACAGATGCGGAAACTGAGGCAGCCAAATAAGTCACCGTGTCACACTGCTTGGCAAAAAAGCTTGGATGAACCCACTTCTTCCCCCACTCCCATTAAGTCCTAAACTAGTAAGTTCAGTTACCTTGGGTGGATGAGGGATGAGTCAATATGAATGAAATGCTTGTCCTTTTGAAAGGCTACATGGAATTTTTTTAAGTACATGTTTTGAAACCATACTTACTTGTAAATCTCTCTCACTTAGTAGCTGTGTATTTTAACTGCTCTGAACATCAGCTTCCAAATCTGCAAAATGAGGGGTAATAACACCCACCTTCAGGGCTAATTGTTTCTCTCCTTTTCCTGCCTTTCCTTTTAAAGTGACCTTGTAGTGCTAAGCTGCTAAAAAATAACCAGAACCAGACTTCAATTCTTCCTTTCTCATTCCTTAGTTCCTCAAGCTCCAGGCCATTCACGTTCTGCAGAACCTCACCAATCTCCTGGAACTATTTTCTTGAAGGTCTTAATGACCAACTGATTTTTTTCCCAGACATCTTTTCAGGCTTCAACTTGTTACCCCTCTACCAATTTCAGCAGCCTCCACCTTGCTCACAGATTCTCTTTTCCTCACCACTTCAAATCACATCTTTTCTCAGGGAGGTGTTTTCTGCCTTTTTCTCATATTCTGTGCTCCTTCCCTATGCAGTTTCAGCCATTCCCATAGCATATATGCACCTGTCTTTGGATGATCACCAGATCTACATCTCATTCTGACATCTCTTCTAAGTGCTAGCTGCCTGGCTGGTTTCTCCATACCACCTAGTCCACTGATAATTTCAAACAAAGTATATTTGAAACTGAGGTCATCTCTTCTTCCCCTGCCACAATAGCCTTTTTCTCTTGTGTTCATCTTTATTAATCGCTGAAATGTATATGGAAATACAAAAGACTTAGACTATCCAAAGCAGCCTCAAACAAGAAAAAGTTGGTAGATATATACTACCTGATTTCATGATTTACTGTAAAGGTAAAATTAGAAGACAATGTGTATCTAGCATAAGAATTAACAAACAGATCAGTGGAACAGAAGAGAAAGCCCAGAAATAGACCCATGCTTAATACTTATATAATTTTAACAAAGGTGCCAAAGCAATCCATTGAGGAAGAGAAAGTCTTCCGTGCACATGGTGCTGAGTAATATGGTATCCATATAGAAAGGCAAAATGAACCCTAGCCCCTGCCTTATGCCATAAGCTGCAGTTAATTTGAGAGAGATCATATACCTAGATGTAAAAACTAAAATTATACAGATTTTAGTGAAAAACATTAGAGAATATCTTCTTTGACTTGGAGGTGGGTGAAGATTTCTTCGGTCAACAGAAATGATAAATTAGACTCCATCAAAACTTAAAAACTTCATCAAAAACACAAGAAAGTATACAGGCAGCAAAGAAAAACTATTTGTAAAACATATCTGACAAAGGATGCGAGTATCCAAGATATATAAAAAAATTCCTATAACTCAGTAATAAAAAGATATATAACCCAGTTTTTCTACATTGGCAAAAGATTTTAAGATGATTCAGAAATGAAAATATACAAACAACCAAAAAGAACATGAGTGTTCAACGTCATTAGTCATCAGAGAAGTGCAAACTAAAATTGTAATGAGACGTTACTGTATACCCACTGGAATGGCCAAAATTTAAAGGACTGACAACATCAAGTGTTGGTAAGGCTGTCGAGTGTCTGGCACTCCCCTGCAATACTGTTGGGAATAAAAATTGATAACAACCACTTTGGAAAGCTAACTGTCAGTTTTTTCTAAAATTAAACATCTACCTACTCTGTGACCCAACAGTTCCATTCTTAGATTTTCTTCAAGAGAAATTAAAACATGGGTCACAAAAAGACCAGTACAGTGTTTAATAGCAGTTTTATTCGTAATAGCTAAAAACTGGAAAGAGCCCAGCCCATCAATAGGAGAATGAATAAACAAACTTTGATAGATTTATGCAGTGGAATAGTATTCAGCAGCATAAAGGAATGGATTACTGATAAAAGCTGACTAAAAAATAGCTTCCACAAAGAAGTGCATATGACGGCTCAGTTTATGTGAAATCGTAGAACAGGCAAAACTAGTCTTCAGTGGAGAAAAAGAAGAGTGGTTGGCTTGAGGGTGACAGGGTGGGGATTGACTATTGTAAGGAATTTGAGGGATTTAGGGACTGAACAAAGAAAAAGCTATCATTGGGCAGGGTTGCAGGAGAAAGGAAGTCCCTTATGGCATGAGACTGTCTTGAGGCTTGTGGTCAAAGGACCACCATCCAGAAGGGGAGAAGGGCAAGGGAACTCCTGAGGTGAGGAAGATTGGAGAGGGGGTCCCTGGAGCTTACACATCTCGGGGAGCTAGTTCAATAGCACAGCAGGGAAGAGAACTCTGATGGGCAGCAGTGACTTGGAGTCTTACCATCACTGCTCTGTCTTATCAAGGCTAGCAGAGATCGGGTGTAGTTATGTGACACATGCAAAGCAGTCAAGCTACAAATGGGGGCGATTTTTAAAATAATTGGGCGGTAAAAAGGTAAGTTTGGTGCCGGTATACTTTTGAGCTGATGGTCTCAGCCTGCAGTGAAGAAATAAACAACCCAGAGGTCAGTACATAGAAGCCATCTTCAGCTAAAATATCCAACTGAGAAGGGACAAGAGGGAATACTTTGCTGTGATGATGATCTTCCTAACTTGATAAAGTTTTAAACCGTGCGGGTGAATACATTTGTGAAAACTCAGTGAATATATACCTAAGATCTCTGCATTTCATTGTACACTCATTTCTTTAAATTATAAGTAAATACTGAACTTTAGTTAATGATGTTCATGCCGAAGTATTTAAGGAGAAATGTACTGCTGTATACAGTTTACACTGAAATGCTGAAAGTGGAATGGATTATCGAATAGATAGAAGGATAGATAATTGGATATATATATAATAAAGCGAATACAGTAAAATTTTCATGGTAAAATCCAGGTTGGGGTATAAATGGGTTTATTATAAAACTTAAAATTTTGCATCATGTTTGAAAAATTTCATAATGAGATGTAAAAGACCACTGTGTAGAGAAAGACTGAGGGACCAATTAGGAAACTATGCCATTGCATTAAAAAGACAGAGAGCTGTATATTTCTTGACCAACCAGAAGCTATAATTTTATAGAGCTCAATCCTATATTTGATCATTTGACTAAAGATCTGTGGTGTTTGATCTGTTCCAGGGAAAGTCCTGCTGCCAGTGTGGACACATGTACATTTCTCTCCTCATTTGTGTGTTCCAGTAGGACTCTGCTAATTGATGGCCGGGTAGAGCTCAAACGAGGTCTGCAGAGGCAGGAGCGGCATCTTTTCCTGTTCAACGATCTGTTTGTTGTGGCCAAAATCAAGTAAGTGTACTGTAAACCTCTCCCAGTTATCATTATAAAATTGCATTCCCACTAACAAAGATAACCTTTCTAGTCAGTGCTTACTGTAAAGAATGTCAGGCCTCTCTTACCATAACTAATATCTGAAGTGAGCTTTATAGTTTTGTTTTATTTTATTTTTGCAAAAAGAAAGTTTTAATTGTTTATTCATTCAGTGAGTGTTCATTTAGGTCCCACTCTGTGCCCTGTTCTGAATACGTATAGGGGACACAGTACAGAATGTGATGGGTATGGTCTCTGCTTTTTTGGCACTTTTATCCTAACGTGTGGGAGAAATTACAGATTGTGATTAGTGCTATGAAGAAAATTGAGTACAGGGTGAAGTAAAATATGGGATATATGTTAAGTAGGTATAGTCAGGAAAAAGAAAATCATTGAAGGCTGAAAAGCAACCAACCATTCAGATATTAGGAGGATGAGCATTCTAGGCAGAGGGAAGAGCAGACCCAAAGGTGGTGGGAAAAGCTTGGCCCTTTGAAGGAGCCAAAGGAAAGCCTCTATAACGGGAGCATAAGGAGCAGAAGGACAATATGAATTGAGGTTGGAGAAATAGACAAGGATCAGGTTATCAGGACCTTGTCAGCTGTATTATCTATTCCCATGTAACAAATTACCCCAAAACCACAGTTTATAACTACAGACATCTCATACTCAGGAACACTCATCTCAGACTGAGGAATCTCAGACTGAGGAGTGGTTTTGCTGGTGGTTCTGGCTCACAGGTCCTCATGAGGTTGCAGTCAAGCTGTTGACCTCCCCCCTCACTTGTGTGGACGCTGGCAGGCCTCAGTTCCTCCCTGGCTGTTGGCCAGACCCTGTAGTTCCTCTCCGTGGGGGTGTCTCCAGAGGGCTGCTCATGACATGGTATTGCTTCCTCTGAAGTGGAAGATCCAGGAGTGTGAGATAGATGTAGGCAAGCGAGAGAACACCCCAAATAGAAGCCACAGCCCTTCATAACCTAATTTTGGAGGTGGCATACTGTCATTTCTGACATATGCTATTGGCCACACAGACCAGCCTTAGTGCAGCATGGAAGACAGCTGTGCGAGGGGTGCGAATATCAGGAAGCGAGGACCGTTGGGGGCCATCTCGGAGACCGGGTGCAACAACGGCTGTGATAAGGAGTTGGGATTTTATTCAAAGGGATTGTAATATAATTTAATAACACTATTAATATGATTTTAGTAACAGTAGAGACCTCACATTTATTTAGATCTTATTGTATGTTAGGTATTTTTCTAGAGACTTTAACCTACATAACCGTTCTATCAGGCAGATATTATTTGTCTCTTTTTACAGAAGAAGTTGATACTCAGAAGTTAAATTACTTTACCGAGATCTCAAAGGTAGTAATTAGTAGCCCACATTTGAACATAGGTCCATCTTACTTCAGAGTCTGCTGTCTCTGTTACTCCTTTTCTTATGGATTTCATAGAAAATTCTTCCATAGAAAGTTTTTGTTTGCTTTTATAGCATTATAGTCTTTCTTATGCGATGAGTAAAGGATCTAACTAAATACTTAACTAGTAAGAAACTGTATAGAATGCTTAGTGAACCATTGATACATTTTTTAAAACTTAAAGGCAAAGATAAAAATAAGAAAATGGTTTCAGAATGTGTTAGGTTTTTTCCTTAGGAAAAAAAAATGTCTTTTTTTTCCATTATGGTAAGAACACTTAACATGAGGTTTACCCTCTTTTTTTTTTTTTTTAAAGATTTATTTATTTATTTATTTGACAGAGAGAGACACAGTGAGAGAGGGAACACAAGCAGAGGAAGTGAGAGAGGGAGAAGCAGGCTTCCCGCGGAGCAGGGAGCCCGATGCGGGGCTCGATCCCAGGACCCCGGGATCACGACCTGAGCCGAAGGCAGACGCTTAACGACTGAGCCACCCAGGCACCCTGAGGTTTACCCTCTTAACAAATCTTTAAGTGTACAATCCAGTAGTGTTAACTAACATACATACAACACCGTGCCTATTAGTTAACATCTCTAGAATATATTCGTCTGGCATAACTGAAACTTAATGCTCGTTTATTAGCAATTCCTCATTTTCTCCCTCCCCTAGCCCTTGGCAACCAACATTCCACTCTGATTTTATAAGTTTGACTATTTTAGATACCTCATATAAGTGGAATCACGCAGTGTTTGTCCTTCTGTGACTGGTGTATTTCGTTAGCATAACATCCTCCAGGTTAATCCAGGTTATTGCATATTGAAGGGTTTCCATCTTTTCTAAGGCTGAGTAATATTCTGTTGTATGTATAGACCACATTTTTTTTATCCATTCACTCATCAGTGGACATTTAGGTTGTTTCCACACCTTGGCTATTGTAAATAGTGCCGCGCTGAACTTGAGTGTTAGTATCTCTTCAAGATCCTGATTTCAGTTCTTTGATAAATACCCAGAAGTGGGATTTCTGGATCATATAATATTTCTGTTTCTAATTTTTTGAAAAACCTCCATATTGTTTTCCATAGTGGCTGCCCCATTTTACATTCCCCAACAGTGTACAAGGGCTCCAATTTCTCCATGTCCTTACCAATATTTGTTGTCTTTTTGGCTTTTTTTTTTGTTTGCTTTGTTTTTGGGGTTCTTTTTTTTTTTTTATAGCCATTCTGACAGTGTGACGTGATATCTCAAGTCTTAACAAAACTAGTAAGATTGAAATCTTACCACGTATCTTTTCCAACCACAATGGAACGCAACTCAAAATCAGGCAAAGCTTAAAACATGTTTTGAATATAAGTAATGCCTACAATGTAGTTTTGGAAGTAGATTTAATGTTATAAAGAATATAGAGAAAGAAAATTCTTTCCCTCCAAGCCTTTGTACTAAGTCCATTTAAAGCTATATGCTATTGATAGAGGAACAAATCATTTTTTAATGTAGATTGGTTGCCATTTCTTTACTTAAAATGTACTGGATGGGTTCTGTATGCTTGGTATTATGATAAGAGAATCACAAAGATCTTATTACATTTTCCTAACAGTCCTCCAAGACAAGAGTTGTTTTAGATAATGAATACTGAGACTCAGGGAGGTTTGTCCAAAGGTATATAATAGGAAATGGCTGAGCTGGGGTTTTAATCTAGGCCTTATTTCCAGTGGCTGGCCCTTGGTACTCTTCCCCCATTGTACCCATTATGTGCCTAGTTTTGTGCTCAGCCTGCAGGTAGATAAGCAAACAACAAAAACTTATTTTAATAATCCATTTCCTGGACTTTAGGACCTTAGAGACTATTTACTTGTAATATGTATTCAGTTCTTATGTAGGAAAATATTTTCTTCACCTTTTTTAGATGCTTTTTCCTTAACAATTATGATAATATTTAGAGTAGAAAACTTTTGTTTTCTTACCTGTCATTTATTGTTCTGGTTTTTGCTAATGTCTAAGTGGTTTTATGTAACCCATATAGTGTTTTGCTGGAAAACCTTTTATATAGTTTCTTTACCACTAGAAAATTGCTGTTTTAAAAATATGTCAAATCTAGGCCTATCATTTACCTGTAGAGCTGACTTTATTTTGACTGTCCCTTTCTCACATAAGGTGAACACCATTTTTTTCACATACTGCTTTTTTTTTTTTTTTTAAGATTTTATTTATTTTTCAACAGAGATAGAGAGACAGTGAGAGAGGGAACACAAGCAGGAGGAGTGGGAGAGGGAGAAGCAGGCTTCACGCTGAGCAGGGAGCCTGATGTGGGACTTGATCCCAGGACCCTGGGATCATGACCTGAGCCAAAGGCAGATACTTAACGACTGAGCCACCCAGGCGCCCTCACATACTGCTTTTGAAAGAACTCTGTGTCTACTTAAATGTATGACAAAATCTATTAACAGTTGATTGAATTCTGTTTTTATTTAAGAGAGTCAGTTCATGAAAGATTATTTTAAGAACTTTCTACATTTATTGTGGATATTAAAAAGTGTGAGTGATCTAAGTTAATTTGGGGAGTAGGTGGGCATAAGCCCAAGACTCTTGAGATGAAGAGGACATATAGATTTGAGAAAGTAATCATTATTATTGAATACTGCCACCTTGCAAAAATGTTGCCAAGAATTTATCATTATATGGTCATTCTAATAGATAACATTTGATACATTCACAGATGCTTCTTAATAAGAACCTTATGTTTTCCCTGAAATAAACAGCAACCAAGAAGAACTAGTCCCCTGTAATACTAAACCTATGTCTTCCCTGTCACTTCTCACCCTTTGATGTACGATTGGGTTGTACCCTTGATCATTAATTTGTTGAAATGATATTAGTGCTTAATCATGTACTTGGTGAACAAATTCACGTTAAGTTCGATATTACTTCAGCTCATCTTCAGGCTCCCTTTAGAAACTGCTTTCAGTCCATAGGTTGATGGTATAGAAATAAATTCCAGTGAGATAACTAATTACCAGCTGCCCCATATTTACTTAGTGAAACCAAGTGGATTTTAGTGAGTGAACTAGCACAAAGGGTTTTTAATTTTTTCCTTTTATTGGCCAAAGTATTTTATTCACTTTGTGCTGAATGTTAACAGCGTTTACCTAAATTCTGTTGAGTTTATTGTCCTTCTTTTCCATACGTCATTAGAATAAGTATTAAAACTGAAAGGGACCTTTGTGACCACTTTTGATATTCATTAGAAAGCTAAATAAAAAGATATTTTTCCAATAGAATTATGGCTTTTCATCTTTTAAGATAACGTTTGAAAACGTGAAAGTATGTAGAAAGAAGTCACTATTCCATCCATAACTGTAGAGCAGCCATGTGGAATTTACTGAGAGGAAGTGACTGTAGTGACCTCACACCTTCTCAAGCCTCCACTTTTCTCAGATTGTTATTTCCTGAGCAAGCAGGGAAATAATGACGAGATCTATTTATGTCAGTAAGATGCAGAGAAAAAAAAGTTGTGGTTATTTATTCAATATCAGTAGAATTACCATCAGACACCAGGTCCTCTACTCCAAACATACTTAGTAAAACATCTCCATCTTCGAACGGAGGGAAATCTCCCTAGAATCCTGTGTATTTCAGCAATTCACTGGGATTCCTTCCAGTATAAAGATTGGAACACAGGAAAATAGGGAAATAGATCTCTCATCTTAACAAATCTGTAGGGACGCCTGGGTGGCTCAGTCATTGGGCGTCTGCCTTCGGCTCAGGTCATGATCCCAGGGTCCTGGGATCGAGTCCCGCATCGGGCTCCCTGCTCCTTGGGAGCCTGCTTCTCCCTCTGCCTCTCTCTCTGTCTCTCATGAATAAATAAATAAAATCTTTAAAAAAAAAAAATCTGTAGTAAGGGACTACACTGTGGAAATAAAGAATTACTTTTGGGGTTGTTATTTTGTTTTTTTCAGCCAGTTCACATTAGATTCATACTTTTAAATTTCAATTAGAATAGTATAATACTATTGGAAATTGAGTGTGAAAAATATGAAGAGACACTATGACACCAGGACTAAATGTAAAATTTTATTTAATACTGGTTTTAAGTACTTTGAAGCTACTCCATTTATCTTTGTGGACATAAGTGTTTATGAGATTCCTCTCCACCTCCATAGTAAACAGTCTTATCACAAAGCCTTGTAGGTACAGAGGGAGAAAAAAGTAAGACTGGGGGCGCCTGGCTGGCTCAGTCAGAAGAGCATCCAACTCTTGATCTCCAGGGTCAGGAGTTCGAGCCCCACGTTGGGTGTAGAGATTACTCAAATAAATAAAACTTAAAAAAAAAAAAAAAAGGCTGAAAATAGAAAAGCTGAAGGGAACTTCATGGTAAGATACTTCCATCCAGATGCTTTATAAGACCAACAATATCCAGGGCTTTTTATAGATCCATAGTAGTTAAGAGCATTAAATAAGTTCAGAAGTCAACACTGTTCAAGTTCAGATTCTAGCTGTTCTAGTTAAGCTATTTGACTTCTGGCAAGTTACTTAGCTAAATCTCGCCATGGCTCCATTTCTTTATCTATAAAGTGAGGATTAAACTAAATAATGTGTGTAAAGTGTTTACCACAATGACTGACTGGCACATGAGAAGTTCTCAGTAAATATTAGCCAATAGAATGGAAGTGATTATTTACACTTTTAGATTAACTTCTTGTAGCAGGAGGTGGATAATCTTGACACTTTATTGATCTAGGGAAAGAATCATTGCAATGATTTTTTTCCAAGGCAGTAAATGTGATAAGTTCCCACCTGGTATCTGAAGTATCTGGTATAGAGAGAGACCTGCATTAGGAAACACAAACTGTGTAAAAAGAGAAAGGGGAACATACCTTTCTTTCCAAACGATTTGTAGTTTCAGTTTTATATTACCTAAATAGGCACTATCAAAAAATAAGATTTTTTAGCAAGAAAATAAAAAATAAGATTTTATCTTCAATTGAGTCTGTTTCATTTTTTAAAAATCTAAAGATTCGTAGCAACAGGATGAAAAATATTGAAATGAAACATAGACATCATTATGCTACAAGGCTCTTTCCTATTACACTTACATTAAGTGTGCCCTACAGGAAGTATAAATGAAGCTTTGAATCCAGACTATCCTTCTTGTGTAGTTCCTGCAAGATCCTTTTTCATTTTATAAATCCTAACTGAAGAGTTCTGCCTTTAAATATTCCATGAAGGAGTTTTAGGAATACTGCCATATGAAGTATCTTTGATTTCATGTTAGCTTTTTCTATTTCCACAAATGGTTCTGAATGGTAGGAAGTATGCAAGTTTCTGTGAGCATTCTCTTTATCTTTCCCAGTGCCTTCTAATTAACTAACTCTCGGGTCCATGATGAGCATTAAATCTATGAATTTAGATCAAGAGATAATGGTGGTTTCAATGTCAGGTTCTAAAGGAGATTAGGTAGAAGTTGTCAAAAAGCAATTTCATTGCCAACTTAAAGTAGATCACCTTCTGGGTCCTTGGAGATAAATATTAAGTATGTTAACTCCACTTAGATATAGTACTTCCTGCTTCTTTTTTTTTTTTTTTTTTTTCCAGTTTAGGTTAGGGTCTGTTTTTAGGCTATAGTTTTTTAATTTTAGTCAGAATATATGCAAAAATGATATGAAAAAATTCTTAAGAAAGGAAATTTAAACTAAACTTTGCTTGTAAAGACTAGAAAATCTTGTAACCATTCAGTTGGAAATACATTGAAAATTCCCCTAATTAATTCCAGATAATATTTTTAAGTGCATCTATCTCTCCTAAGGTGAAAATTTTATAAATACTTCTATAAATAATGTGTACTTTAATCTTTTGTTCAGCCACTCAAATTTTTTTGGAGTAGGCAGGTTATAAATAATAAATGAATTTTTTAGAATAGCAGTAAATTTAAAATTAGATTTTTGATCCAAATGCAATGCTCAACATAGAAAAACAAAGTAGGCAGTTTATGGCTATTTGCTGCCCATAAACACAGGCATGAGGACTAATACACCAAATGTTTCAAAGACCTTTTCGGGCCAAAGGTAACCGACTGGCTTATAGTTTCCTGTGGTAGGCACTGAAGTTACAAACAATGAATAAGACATTCTTTGTCCATGATTAGTAGAAACTGTCCTCTTATCACAAGTACAGAAGCTCTCATAAAATTTAAGAAACAAAATAACAAGAAGTCCTGTCTGGTTTTTATCTTTCTAGATATAACAACAACTTTAAGATAAAAAATAAAATAAAATTAAGTGACATGTGGACAGCAAGTTGTGTGGATGAAGTGGGAGAAGGCCACACCAATGCCGTGAAATCCTTTGTCTTAGGCTGGCCCACAGTGAACTTTGTGGCCACTTTCAGGTAAGAACCATAGCTTCTCCTGTATTGACATGTAAAATACAGTCAACTAGGTAATTTCTAGTATGGAAAGAAAAATGTTAATCAAATTTTGTTCTGATTTTTTTTTTAAGGAAAATATTTTATTCTGATTGAGTTATTCTGAAGTCAGTAACTCATCTTTTGACCATACCCCCAATAAAGACACTTGTAGGCCTTATTTCTCCCCAAGAGCTTCTTATTAAAGTGTGTGGAGAGTAATGGTAAATATTGAGAACCTTGGAGTCGTTTATCTTGGTATGACCAGTAATTTTTAAAGGGGCTCTACTGAAGCACCTAGGGCCTGTGGAAAAGGAATGGAGTGGTCAGAGCTCTGGGGCCGCCGCTCTCCAGCCTCCCCTTCCTTCGTGTTCACTTACTGTTTTACATAGTGAGCTTTCGAATTGGTCTTTTCAACCCACTGTGATAGACTTTTACTGAAAAATTTTATGAAACAGTCCAGTTAAGTTTGAATAACTGTTTTATACTCCCAAATTTTCTTTTTTTTTTTAAGATTTTTTATTCACTTATTTGAGAGAGAGAGCAAGCTGCGGGAGGAGCAGAGAGAGAGGGAGAGAGAGACTCCCAAGCAGACTCCCTGTTGAGCATGGACCCCAGGGTAGGGCTCCATCCCAGGACTCTGAGATCATGATCTGAGCCAAAATCAAGAGTCGGATGCTTAACCAACTAAGCTACCCGTCACCCCTATATTCCCAATTTTCTAAAGAAATAGTTTTTAATTATAGAAATAAAGTTAATACCATGAAATAATGGAGTGCCTGAACTGAACATCAGGTTCTGATTTGGCATAAAGATGTGACCATCAAAAGCAAATTTATGACTCAGGAAGTGAAAGTCAGTTTCCTAAGACTCACCCCTTGACTGGGGTAGGGTTGGAGAATATATAAATAATCTTTGTACTCTTGTCCTGAACATGCTAAATTGGCACTTCTCAGGTCAGGGTGAGCATATCAAAATTCACACTTGTGATTTTGAATAGCTGCACTCTCAAGTCCAGAGTTTGTTTTACACTTAAAGAGTTGGAGTTCACAGGCACACATTTTTCTTTTGGTTTGTTCTCTCCCCACTACCACCAGACACCTCAGGCATCATTCTAAAGCCAGATAACTAGAATTTTCCAAGCTGTTAATCTTTTAATAAAAACAGGCATGTCATTAAATTCTTTTATGCATTATTGGCCTACCACAAGATTTTAAGAACTTACTTGGAAGAAACATATGTTTGTATCATTCCCTGCATATGTTGTTTTCCATGATAGATTTCTCTATCATTTTCTGTTGCTTGATCTCCTTGGAGTTACAGGTGAAAGGAAGTAATACCTAGGAAGGGGCAAAACCACATGCTCTTTTTTTTTTTTTTTAAGAGGAAGAATGGCAGGAGGGGAAGTGTGGTGAGGGAAAGAGAGAATCCTCAAGTAGACTCCCTGCTGACTGTAGAGCCTGATGCAGGACTTGATCTCACAACCCTGAGATAATGACATGAGCTGAAATCAGGAGTCAGATGCTTAACCGACTGAGCCACCTGAGGCACCCCATACATGTTGTCTTTAATTAAGGAGTTTCCATGAAATTTGTCTTAAGAAAAAGTGAAAATGTGGAAACAAGTTTTATACAAATGTATTCTTCAAAAAGTATAGTACTTTAACCAAATGATTAAGGTTAATTAACATCACTAATGATGCCATGTACCCCTCAATAGAATGTGATGAGAAGAGTAGTTCACCTTTGTGTTATTCGTCCTCAAACCCAGAGCCCCAGACAAACATGAGAGAAACTTCAAACAACCACAAACTGAGGGATATTCTATAGGTTAAACTGACCAGCACTTCTCCGGATTATCATGGTTAAAAAAAAAAAAAGAACAAAACAGGAAAAGACATAGAAACTGCCCTAGACCAATCATTAAGGAGACATGATAACTGAATACAATGTGTTATCCTGGGTTGGGTCCTCTGACAGAAAAAGGACATTAACGGAAAAACTGGCAAAATCTGAAGAGTCAAGAATGCGGTTAACAGTAATGTACCAATATTGGTTTCTTAGTTTGACAGGTGTGCCATTGTAAGAGGATAACTTTAGGAAACTAAAAGGTGAAAGGTATCCAAGGACTCTGTACTATTAGCAACTTTCCTGAAAGCCTAAACTTATTTCAAAATTAAAAGATTATTTTAAGAAAAAAGTTGCTTTGAAGAGTTCTGGCCCTGGTATGGCAGAGTGAGGCCTTAACAGACTGACCACCCTACAGATAACAACTGTAAACTCTGAGCAAAATACAAACAACAACCACCTAAAGGATCTGCAAAGCGAACACAAGTTGGCAGATTTTGGAGAGGAATTGAAACTTGGAAGGAGGCACCAGCAGGGGGTGAGATTCCTATGTTTAAGGCATTGGCCCAAGGGCAGGCTACAGTCATATCATGGTGCAGGGCAACTAAGCTGACAGAAACCCCCAATCTTTCTGGCCAAACAACCAGACTACAGAGTCTGAGTCAGCCACAGCCACGGGAAAGTGAGGGAGGAAATCTCAAAAAGTATCGTATCAGAGGAGGGAAACCCCAGATTTTGTATATGGATTCTACCTACGTGTCTGACTGATTGCTGACATGCATGGAGCAGACTCAAAGCAACCTGAAGTGAAGGCTAAAAGACCTGAACCAAAGTGCTGTTGAGTCTAATCAAGTTAGTTATCTGTTGTGATAAAAACATCAACACTGCAAATATAACAGCACTCAGTCTCCAAAACAAAATATTCATAATGTCCAGATACAATCTAAAATTTCTTCACATACAAAGAACCAGAAAAGATAATCAACAGAGGCCAATCCTGAAATGATCCATGTTGGAATTACCAGAAAAGAACTTTAAACCAACTTTTATAATTGTGCTCACTAGGTAAAAGGAAAAGCCAACTGAAATGAATGAAAAGATTTCTCAGCAGAGAAATACAAAATATAAAAAAGAACCAAATGAAAATTTTAGAACTGAAAACTGCAATATCTTAAATTTTATATATATATATATATCCCCTGTGTAGCCTTAGTTGCAGAATAGAAATGAAGGAGGAAAGAGTCAGTGAATTTGAAGATACATCAATACAAATTGTCCAGTCTGAAGAATAGAGAATACAGGCATTTTTTTAAATTTATGTACTTATCTATATATGAGAGGAAGAGAGAGAGAGATAATCTTAAGCAGGTTCCACACCCAGCACAGAGCCCAACGCAGGGCTTGATCTCACGACCCTGAGACCTGAGCCAAAATTAAAAGAGTCAGATGCTTAACTGACTAAGCCACCCAGGTACCCCCAAAACAGACATTTTTTAATTCAAAATGCATCAGAGACTTGTTAGAAAATACCAAAAGATACAATATACATGTAACTGGAACTCCAGAAGAGGAGAAAGAGGGAATAGGACAGAATATTTGAAGAAATAATAGTTTGGAAATTTCCCAAGCTTAGCGAAAGATACAAATGTACAGATTTAGTAAGCTCAGTGAACCCCAAACAGGAGTATGAAGAAAATTTCCCCTAGTCATGTTATAGACAAACTGCTATAAACCAAAGATAAGAGAAAATCGTAAAAGCAGCCAGAGAAAAACAACACATTACATATGGGGGAACAATAATGTGCATCACTGTGGCTTTTTCATCAGAAACTATGGCAATTTCAGAAGACAGTGGAATGGCATCTTTGAAGTGTTGAAAGAAAGAACTTTCAACATAGAATACTATATCCAGCAAAAATAGCCTTCAAAAATGAAAGTGAAATAAAGAATTTTTTTTAATTCTAAGAATTTATTCCAGCAGAACTTTGCTACCAAAAAAAAAAAAAATGCAAACAAGTTTTTCAGCGAGAAGCAAAATTATATCAGAGGGAAGCTTGGATTTTTAGGAAGGGTTGAAGAACATCAGAAATGGTATGTATCCGTCACTATTAAAAAAAATCGAGGCCATGATCAGTTTAAAATGCCATCAGACTAGCAGCTCAGGAAGGAGGTTCTCCTAGCCAGTCACTACAATATCTATAAAGAAACCAAAAATGTAAAGACTAATAGCTTTGAAATCTAAGACTGACAACTGCCAGAATCAGTGAGGAATTCCCAACTGTGTCAAGTTAGAGGAAGAGCAAATAATAAATGTGAATGTCTCATGCTTTCCCTTAGGACACGGAGTAGATCGTCACATCTCAGAAATGGCCAGGAGTTTCATGTATCTTGTACCCTGATTCTCAAACCTAGGATCTGTATCTGCCTGAAGAGCAGGCACTGCACCTGGATACTACAGATAATGACACAGTAAAATGAGAACATTGTTCAAATACACAGGAAGTACTGAAATCTGACAAGGATCTGTCTATAAGAGGAATCAGAAGAATGATATTTTAACTTAAGTACCTAGTGTGAATCTTAGTCTACAAACTCAGCAAAGGCAGGAAAAGCCTGTTTATAGATCAAATGAAAACCCACATTGAGCCTACATTGTGCCAGCAGATTTCTGTGATGTCTTCCAAACAGGTGGCAGACTGTGACCTTCAGTCTGTTGTGGTCACTGCTGACATTATCTTTCTCTTTGTCTTTTATGTTCAGAGCTACTCTGATTCCTTGCCACACGTGGGGTGCTGGTATCATTGCTGACATAAAAACTCAGGAACAGGCCTCCCAGGTTGCTGCTTACAGTCATTTCCTAAGGGGTCTTTCTGTTTCCTGAGGCATCTCAACTGAGTAACATATGGTTCCCTGCTCACTCCCAGGGATAACAGACTCTATCCCCTCCCAAATTTGAGGGTCTCTTTCCAGTCTGCCTTGCCTTTTCTCTTTCTCTAAGATATACTGCTTTCTCCTCTTCTTGCTCTTACCAAATGAGCTTAGGTGTTAATGAAACTCTGAGATCACCTTGATTCTGGAGTACTTTTGTTTTTAGTTTGGTAAAAATGCCTTAAGAATCACTAAAGAAAGAGAAGTTCTGGATTCTTCTTGCACAAAGTAGTAGAAAGGTGAAAACACAAGAAGACTACATAAATCAATCTCAGTGTGTTAACCTGACACACTTCATAAATTATTTTTGAAGTAATGCATGCTGTGTATTCAAACAATGGAAGACTATACAGCAATGAGAATGAACAATCTAAAACCACATGCCGTAATACGGAGAAGTGTCATAAACATAGTGTTGAATGAAAGAAGCCAGACACAAAATAGTACATATTGCCTGGTTACATTTATAATAAAGTAAACATAACTATCCTGTGCTGTTGGAAGTCAGGAGAGTGGGAACTAGTACCTGAAAAGGAGCATAAACAGTCCTCCCGAGGTGATTTTCTATTTCGTAATCTGAGTTTTAGTCACGTGGGTGTGTTCAGTTTGTGAAAAAATGTTCAGGCTGTCCACTTAAGCATTATACAGTTTTTTTCTGTGTATCTTACATGTCAATAAAAGTTAAAAAAAATACTGTTTTAAAGGGGTAATTTTCTTTAGCTGCTTTGAAAAAAGTTCACAGGTCCAAAGAAAACTCACCTATTTTTCCACACGGTTTTTTGCTAAATAAATCCAAGATTTGACACAAATGAACCTAGAAAATCTCTGTTTAGGAAGGGTGAATACATTAAAAGTTTGTAAGGAACTATGGAAGATGAAAATTGGATGATCGATAAAAGAGATGTAGTGTACTTTCAGATGCCCAATGCTGGGAGTTGTGTATGGAGAAAATTGCTAAGCAACAGACTTAGAAACAAATCGCAAATACTTGTTAAGTGTATTTTTCTGGAACAAGAAAATAACAAGGGTTTCCAGCTTTGTTAAGATTAGAAATATGGTATAAAAGCTAGTGAGTAACAAGACCATTTAGAAATAAACACTGAATTATTTTCAAGTTTAAGAATTAAACGGGGTGCCTGAGTGGCTCAGCTGGTTAAGCGACTGCTTTTGGCTCAGGTCATGATCCCAGGGTCCTGGGATCAAGTCCCACATCAGGCTCCCGGCTCAGTGGGGAGCCTGCTTCTCCCTCTGACCCTCTTCCCTCTCATGCTGTTTCTCTCTCTCTCTCTTTCAAATAAATAAATAAAAATTAAAAAAATTAAACATAGCAGTAACTTCAGAAAAATTATTAATAATGATTTAGTTGTAAATGAATTGATCTTAGAAGATTGTAGTAATTAAGAATAGGTTTTCTGTGAACTAATTCACTAAATTAAAATCCTGCTATATGTATAAATATTTCTTTTTCCGATAGGAAACTGGTTTCTGGGCCAAGATATTTCCATCAACATGACAAATTTCTCTTTAATCTCTAATCTCAAATTGAGCATACTTTCTGTTTGTATGGCATTTAAAGCTACAAAAACACTCTGAGACAATTAGCCCAGTTTTACAGATGTGGAAACAAGTTTAGAGATGTGAAGTGATTCACTCATGATCAGGTAGCTTGCATATGTTTTTGGAACCAGGTGTTTAGATTCCAGATCAAATACTCATTCCACTGTAAGAGTTATACTTGTAAAAGAGCCATAAGGTAAGAAAATGGCCCTGTCTTGGATCCATTCAGGAGGTTTTAAAAGAACTGTACCTGACGGTATAGTTTTTCCTGATGGGAGTTTTCCATTTGCGGATTCTCCAGAGTGCAGTGGTGGGCCGCTCCCTCTGTAACAGGCTGTTGATACTTTATCTGGATTGATAGTCTCAGAGATGTTAGCATAAATGTGTTATGTGTTTAATTTTTCTCTCCTATTTTCTTTGATTGTAGTTCTCCAGAACAAAAGGACAAATGGCTCTCTCTCCTTCAGAGGTATTTTTTTTTCCAGTATAACATATTCTTAATCTTCAACCTGTAGTTAAAAGAATTAAATTCTTCTATGCAGAGATGTGCCCCCAAACTATTCCCCTTTTCCTTAGTAGAAATTACTCATTTATCCTCAAAATAAACTATTGTTTGAACTGTACGCTAGCTACTACTTACTGTAAACAGTGTTCTCTTCAGTACATGTATTCCTTACTTTCTAGGAAAGAGAACACTGAGGTCTGGTTAGATCATTCTAGACAAAAATTAGTCAGTAATCTCTCCCATTTCCACGTCTCCAACCTACCATTTGGAGCGAACAGTTTCCTCAGAGCATGTATTAGGTTTCCATATATGGAAGGTTTTCTGCTGAACACCTCAAAAATCAATTATCCTCACCTTTGAGCATACAGACTAAATGGTCAATTTAGGTTTCTCTCTTATTTCCATAAGCCTTCCCTCCTTCCTCCCCTTGCTACCTTCCTAAGGGAAGATTTGCACTCTACCTGAGAGCTAAATGAGAAGTAAAAGGCTGTCTTGGTTTGGTGTAGTAAAGTATGGTACATACTCCTGTACTTGTCAGTAAGATTCTGGGCCTGTCCAGGGAAGGTAGGAAAGCTTGGAAGACAAAACACCACCCAGAGGTGCCTAAACCTGACTGTGCTGCTCAAACCTCACTTGAAATCGTTTTCATGCCCATACCTAATGTCCTGAGAATTTAATTCTCTTCCAACCCATAATGTAATCAGATTTTGCTGAGTCTTTCCATCTGTCTTTTAAAACATAGAATATAAGTATATTGAAGATATTAGCAAAATAGATTGATTTTAAAATAAGCCATTAGCAAAATCCATCTGACTCAGTGTTGTTTTGGGTTGTTGTTGCATTTGATTAGATACATCAATCTAGAGAAAGAGAAGGACTACCCGAAGAGCATTCCCCTCAAAATCTTCGCCAAGGACATTGGGAATTGTGCCTATGTAAGTGTTTCTAAGCCAGAAAATTAAATTCCACATCCCTGCATAAAGCAGAGCTCCATGGATGAAAAGACACAGGCAGGCAGGCAGACAGACAGACTGTGGATGTGCTATGGAAGGCAAGCATTTAGAAATACCATTGTGGGAAAATGCATTTTCCTGGGTCTATGTATGTCTTTGTGTATGTGAAAAGTAAACCCTAGAGAAAATGAAGCAAGAGAAATTCACATTAACTACAGTATTTTGTATTAACACTTAGAATATTCGCTTGTCAGATGTCTCTTTCCTCCCTCTGGCATTAATGTTTCTCTGGACCCTTTCAATAGCAGCTGCAGAGGCTTGTAGTAAAGCCATTTTCACAAGGATGTATTTCCTATTAGTATTAAGCAATTTTTTCCAACTTGTCACTTCTTAAGTAGAAGGTGGTTTAAGATAGTTCTTCATTCTCTGAATTTTTAGGGATTGAATCTCTTGGGTTAATAATGGATGAGCTAGGAGAGATGACATTTTTAAGGGATCAGCATATTTCTACCTCACAGTTTTTATCATATTGGTCAAATAAAAATTAAGCCTATTTAGCCCTAGTTATTATGTATAATTTGATGACCAGAAATATAGAACAAATGCCAAGATGTTATCAATGATGAACAAAATGGGAATTTACGGATATTTTTATGATACAATGCATTACCATACTTCACAACAGCCCTGGATCACACGGCAAGAGATGTAGTACAAAACAGTTACGTTTTGGCCAAAAGCAAAAGTTATGCAAATGTTCTGACATGAGTGCCAGATGTCACTGCTTGAGGGAAATACTCAAATTTTTTATGGTGTGAAACTATAAAGATCTACTATAGCAAAGTAGCAAAAAACAAACAAACAAAAACCGACTGCTATTTTTCTGCCAGCTTTGATTCAGTTGTTGTGGCAATTGGTTATAATTAGGATTTTCATGGAAAATCCCTTGAATTTTTTTTGAGATTTTCAGTGTATGGAAAGTGTGTGCTTGAGAAAGGCCCAGAGTTCCATTCTCTTTGGAATAGAAGACCAGAGATGTGGTCAGGCTGGGTGCTCTGTTTTTATCACTAGTATGCTGGTTAACTCAACGATGATGTGACACATCGTCCTTAGCTCTCTGAAGCTGCATCATGACAACAGTCTCCTTTCAGGGAGCCCTGCTTCCAGAAAGAGTGATTCCCCCCGAAAATAGGAATGTATGTATGGAAAGCATTATTTACCCTTGGTGTATCACCTTAGTGATACACAGCCGGTCAGTGAATTCTGCTAACATGGAAAAAAAAAAAGCGCCACATTTTCATTTTTGCCTGTTTGCTTTATTTGTTTACTAGCCACAGAGGACTATCTGCTGAAATTCATTTGTTTTGTCTGCCAGAGAGGCTTGCAAGGAAGACACACACCTATGATTACTGTTTTGACTGTATGTTATCTTAGAATCAGGTACATTAGGAGATACTGTTAGTATTACAGGAAAGATTCTTCATTTTACAAAAGACTTCATGAGAGAATTTCTTTAAAATTTAATTTAAGATTAGGTTTTCAGACTTAAAAAGAAAAGCAGATGCCTGTCACAAAATTATATCTCAAGTTAAATCCCAGTGTATAAAACACCTGTATCACTCTGGTGGAAGACGGACACTGGTGTGGGTGCTCTAAGCCCTGCCTGTTGGCTTCTGAGAGACTTACGCATAATCTTTGGAGCTCAAGAGCACAATTTGAAATCAATTAGCAAACAACTTTAAGAGGCAATTTGTCATGTCAAATAATCAGCTCATAGAGGAAAAAAAAGTACTATAATGGAAAGATAAGTGGTGAATTGTGCATGGATTTCACTTAATGACATCATTTTTGTTTTTATATCATTTTGTTTCTGCCTATACTTATTTATACCATTTAAGCCCTATCAGGGACACAGCCCTAATTGCTGATTCATCTGATAATTATAATATGTAAAACCTATGTGCATAGTAAATATTTCTTTTTTGACAGCATAGCATTGTCTCACATTTAAAGGTCTTAGAATTCGGTGAACTCTATATAGATATCTCAAAATCTTGTTAATCCCTTTTCTATTTGCTGCAAACTATTTTTAAGTAGTAATTTTTTTTAGATTTTTATTTATTTATTTGACAGAGAGAGACAGCGAGAGAGGGAACACAAGCAGGGGGAGTGGGAGAGGGAGAAGCAGGCTTCCCACCGAGCAGGAAACCCGATGTGGGGCTTGATCCCAGGACCCTGGGATCATCACCCAAGCCAAAGGCAGACACTTAATGACTGAGCCACCCAGGCGCCCCTTAAGTAGTGATTTCTAAATGTAGTTTAGCACAGAGCTATCAGAGATCTCCTATTAAATAGCAGAGTTGGCAACAGAATTGAGCTTTCTAAAATTCTCAGTCCTGTTTGCCAGACTCACTGGTTTTAAGGTGTCTGCAGATTTCAACACTGAAAATCTCAGAAGCCACAGTGTTTGACATAGTGCTCAATAAATAATGTTTTTAAAAATTCTAAACTTTAAATGTCTTTTTGTAGCCAGTTTTTATTCTGATTTTACCTCAACTTCTTACCATGCAAAGAAAGGACTGTGAAACCCACACTGTGAAAACAGTGCTCAGGAACAAGGAGAAAGTGATCCAGTGTGCTCCCTGTTTTATCACACTTTGCGTTATGGAAATGCAATTATGGAGATGATACAGAGCACCGACTTCACTAGATTTTGGAGGGGTGGTTTGGGAGGGTAGTCCATGTACTCCCTCTCGTATGTAGTTAATCTTTTTCTTTCTTGCTGAAGGTCTTATATTTTGTGAGCTACATGTCCTTTATATTAAAGAGGTTTTATAGATGTTTTATCAAAAGGCATAAGATATAATGGAATGAAAGTAAATTATCATCAAGGGTTTGTTCTACTTAAGTCATTTGCCTGTTAACACTTGAAATCAAAATTTGCCTTTGGGTAATCATTTTATAATAATTACTTATTCACCTGATTTAATGCCCTTTATTTATAACTATATTTCTTATTTCTTTTTTTTTCTGCAGTCTAAAACTATAACAGTAACGAATTCAGATACAGCAAATGAAGTTATCAACATGTCACTACCCATGCTAGGGATAACTGTAAGTTACTCTACTAGATACTCTTAATTAAAAACAAACTTTGATACTTAGAGTCATATAAATATTATCCCTTTTGTCATAAGACAACTTATTACTAAATAATACCAAATTCATGTTTTATTCCCCAAAATGGGGAAAATAAGGACAGTAAAGCTTTTATATTAGATGCTACTCTTCTGACACTGTAAGACCTATGTGAACTGGAAAGCATAATAAGATAAGGCTATCATTTTAGAGTGATAATAATATGTATTTTTATTGTATATGCTATATACATATACAGATGGAGGGGTTTCTTGGTATAAGATTGTGATGAGAAAGTTCTGACCTCCTTCCCACTTGTCACTCAATGACTATTCTTTCCTATCTCCTTTTCTGATTCTTCTCCTTTACCTAATTCTCCTATTATGCCAAGAGTCCATCAGTCTTAGGATGATGAATTCTGAAGGATTTGCTCTATAGTAGAATTTATACCTGAAGAACACATAGCTAGAATCCATATTCACTGGCTGTAGATCTAGAAGATGAGATGGCTGGTACCTCTGATGAATTGGTAAATTAAAAAAGAAGCTTTGAATTAGATCATGGAGTTAAAGAGCTTTAGTGTGCATACCACATGTTCCCCAGTTTTGCATTTAGCTTCTGCTTCTTTCTGTTTTGTGGGGCAAAGGTAAGTGTTTGATATTTTATTAATGGAGAGTATTGGCATGTTTGAGGATGAGGTAGGGAGAACGTTGGAAAATTCTCCTCATCTCCTCCCTACCAGTATATAAACACCACATGGTGGGTCTTGTATTAAAGGAGTGACTTTCAGAAGGTTGGAAACTAAAGGAAGCACTTGAATAACACCATTTCTTGAGTCAGATTCTCTATAAATATGAAAGCACAATGTTACTATGATGTAACATGTCAAATGTTTTAGATATGCCATAGTCTAATAAGTTATACTTAGATTTACTTATACATTGTGCTATCATAAGCCCTTAAACACTCAGAGAAATCAGACTTTAGGGTAAGAAATCTGATTTTTTT